ACACAATTCGTCAGCTTCGGATTTCAGAGATTCTGTGACAAATTTAGAATCCAAAGTGTTGCATCCACGGCATATTATCCACCAGCAAATGGTCTTGCAGAAGCTTTTAACAAAACCATAGTGAAGCTTCTCAAAAAGTTTGTTTCTAAAAGCCGGCACAATTGGGATGAAAGACTGGGTGAATGTCTGTGGGCTTATCGCACCACGGTAAGGACCTCTACAAGAGCCACACCTTTTTCTTTGGTATACGGCTGCGAGGCTGTATTGCCATTGGAAATCCAGATTCCTTCTCTGAGAGTCGCTATCACAACTAGACTAACAGAAGAAGAAAAGCATCAACGACGTCTGCAAGAACTTGAAGCCTTAGACGACAAACGACTTCAAGCTCAGCAACAGATCGAGTTATATCAAGCCCGGATTTCCAAAGCCTACAACAAAAAGGTTAAGGAACGGATCTTCAAGAAAGGCGATCTAGTGTTGGCCAACAGACGACCCATGGTGATGACACACAAAACCAAAGGGAAGTTCAATCCTAAATGGGAAGGGCCCTTCGTAATAGAATCAGTCTATTCGAACGGAGCATACCGCCTCATCAATCAAGAAGGAGACAGGCTCATGATGCCAATTAATGGGAAGTTTCTCAAGAGATACTTCCCGTAAATCATGTAGCCCCCTAAACCCCAACCAAATCAGGCTGGGGGTTGCCTTATAGTGTAATTCTGTTTTATATTTCGTCATGTTAACACTACACCTCTGATGGCTGTAATTTGCTGGAATTATTCTAATAAATGATAAAGAGAATTTCGATAGTATTAGCATTATTCTCTATTGTTTTAAGCTAGATTTCAGCAAAAGAGACAATAAAGGGCAAAATGATATCATTTTCATTTAATGTTGTTAATCTAAACACAAAATGATGACAAACAAACTGAAAATGATACGAAATTCCTTAGCCAAGAACAGGTCAAGAGCTAAACATCAGGCTTCATTAACTTGAGGGTTTTTAGCCTAGACTTGAAGGCAGAAAGTTTCTCCCGGTGAGCCGCTCGAACTTGTTCCTCGATCTCCTTTCTGAGTTCTGCTTCAATA